TATTCACTATGCCCAGAGTTGGAACAGTTTAGTAGGTCATTACCTCCATGCTGTTTGTTACTTTGCCCACTGCCCTTACCCATTTCAGAATGGAGAAAGCAATCGAGTGCCCCAGAGCTTGCCAGCCACCTCGCTGCAGAGCTGGCTACTTCTGCTCTAAACAAGTGCCTCACCCTCCTCCAATTGTTGTTAAAGCCTGAACAATCTCAAACTGGAACAATCTCTGCTTTTCTCCCCTACTTTCTGTTTGTGTATTTGCAACATAATTGCATGATTATATCAGGCATGTGAGAAAACCCTGCTTGGGCCATAACCGTATCCCAGGGATGCTGAGCACAGAGAGCTTCCTGCATATAGGAAAATTATCATTTAATGGCTTTACCAGAGTTACGGCAACACTAGAATGATGAAAACTGGGGCATGTGATTCTTGGGAGATTAGTGTCACCAAAAACATGAGACAAAAACAGAAAGGGAAAGGTTACCACAGATAAGAGACGACTGTAACACCACAGGTCTGATCTTGGCTGATATACAGCCACAAAGAATTTGACACAAGTTAGCAAATACAGTATACTGAAAACAGGGCAAGGCTTTTTTTTTTCTTTCTTTCTTATCAAACTGTTTTAATCAGACAAATGTTGGTCTTCGTACCACTGAATGCAAAATACTCTGGAACTCCAGCAGTGCAGGCACAAACGCATCATATTTGAACTGCTGCACAGCTGGCTTTTAGAGCTTAACAGTCTTAGAAACATACTCCAAAATCCCAGATTGCTTGGAAATCTTACAGCTTCGAGCACAGGAGTGTTACAAAATCTTTTAAAAGCCTTCAATTATAAACCAAATTACAGTGGCCAGTAATCTTCTCTGTACATGCAGTGTGAAAACAACATCATAAACACGCTCCAATGTTGTTTCTCTTCACAAAAATATTCTGAGAGGTTGTCTGCAAACCGACATTGCACACTAAAGCGAGATTTTCAGCTCCATGGGACTAGTTAATATTTGTATTAAGGGTCACTTACATTTTCCTCCAGTAGGAACAGGACAGGAACAAAACCTTTACCAGGCATCTGAATTATCTATAATCTTGTATAACATGCACACAAAGAAAACATCAATTCGCAAACTTGCACATTTGTGGTTACTGGAAGCGAAACAGCATAACACAGATGAAATACCAATGACTGCAGTTTAACTCGCTATGTCCTCTGAGCTTGCCTTTCAAGTTCTTTATGTCCTTAGAATCACTCCAAAAAATAACATCGTATCTTATTAACTGTTCTATAAATAAGAAATTCTAGATAGAAATTATTTCCATTTGGCATATGGTACTAAAAATACAGAAGAACAATTACCTCAGAGAAAAAGTTAGAAAAGTAGTTTTATAAAAAATACAAATAATACACTGGGAATACAGCCATGTATAATTTTATTATTTTCTTATTTAAATTAATGTGGATTAAGCCAAAAACATTGGAGAGATGACTATGGAAAATGGAATCACTTATCTTCCACCGACTAGGTGTAATATTGAAATCCACAGAGTGGGCTCAATCC